TGTAACTAGGAAAAAGTCACATTGGTACTTGCCATTGGTAGGTTTCAAACCAGCATCCTCATGCATGAGAAGCGGGCATCTTAAACCTCCGGGCCACCACGACTTTTTTATAGGTAATATAAGTATACCTATAATATACCATTTTAGAGTCTACTAGTTTTATAACTTATATCTTAGTCGTGTAGAAGGCAGGGTTAGATACCTGGAGGTATATATTTTGGCTTAGTTTGCAAGTTAAAAGTACTATAGTAAAATGGTCTATCTCTACGCGCCTAACATGATCGTGTATTCCGCCTTGGAACTATTATCGACAACTATGACAAAAGAAAAATCTAGTGATATTTATTTATGTCGACCTATAAAGTCGAAATTTCGTCATTCATTGCTGAACCAGACAATGTACTATTTCGGTGACTAAATATAGGTTTATCAATATTTACTAATCTCTCTAGACATAATAAAACATACAGTATGTGGCAAAGCTTCTATCAAATATTCTTCTAGGAATTTTGTGGTAAACATCTTGCCTACGTCTCGAAAGTAGTTTATCTGAGGTGTACCTCATAAATTTATGCCACAACTCCGGCACCCCCAAGTTGCACTACGTCAGATTCAGTTCCTAACTCCGGCAAGAATTTCTCCTCCGAAATTGACTTGCTCGATGTTAAAGTCGAATCCGGGTACAACTCTAGGTGACCTAAATTGCACCCCCCTTCGACATACAGTTAGTAGGGGGTGTAGAATAAGGGTAAAGGGATGTAGTGGGAAGTCCTTATGCCGACGTCAGTTGCGAGAGATGCGTTTGTACATAGTCACATAGCCCTTTGCCGCTTATATACACAGCGGCAGTGCATAAGAGCGATAGAGATAAAATTACTATTGCACTATATGCTTCAATATTAAACCAATGTCGATGTGTGCGTGATAAATTAAATGAAATGCGTGGAAACGGAATAGGCACCGCCCATCACTCATACAAGCACCGGTTGCGTCAATAACTACCGAAAGGATTTATATGTTCAATTGATTTTCACGTGAAATTTTCCTTTGATAGCAATGTAGTACCCACAGTTCATAAGTTTAACTAACATATTTGCCAACGTAACAATTTTCAACTATTATATCTAGTAATAGTTGTACTCATCTGTTTGGTTAATTTAGTGCAGTATCTCAGACCTCAAGGCTGGAGGAGTAGGTATCTGCTTGTGAGATGTTTAACTAAACTTGAGACGTGCTTGTAATGTAACATCGACGCAGTTTAATAGTTAATATCACTTGATATCCTAAGTAGCTGTATTATCCCTTAAACAACGGAATGCAGTGTTGGTTTTAGTATGAATTTCTATGATAGTTTTCAGAGAAATTAAAATAACATCACAACTACTTTGATATGTATTAAAACATAACTTTATCGATTCAACTATTGAGGCCATAAATTCCTATTTTTCCTAGTCAAGTCAACAATGTATATATTCTACCGGTGTTTGGTCATTGGGGAGTCCACAACAGTGTTGATGATTGCTAGTGTAACTACATGGCAGTACAAATAAACCTATTTCCAGCGTCACCTACTTTGTAGCATTGCTCCGCTGTCCCTGAAGCAAAGGGAATTTATTATTTACAATAGTTATATTGTAGGCTGTCCTGTTACTTGGAATTGAGTGTAATCATACTTTGTATGAACTGGGATTTGGTTCCGAGGCCATACTTATTATATGGTAAGCTATTTATGTGATGATCACTGAGCCGAACACAATATCGGGGCTATGGACTAGCATAATTAACAGAGACCAAACAAAACCACTGTGACCAAACACCTGGACTTTTAATTATAGTAAGATTATACATAACATAACATCATGCGTTTTATTTCCGAAAGGGTAGGCAGAGGTCTGCCTCTGTGAACATTGCGTCAATGCCTGTACTGTGTAATACTAACTTTTCACTGTTTATGCTAGTAGTCCCATGTAATAGGGGGTGAGCCAATTGCCATATACTAGGCACTATTAAAGAATCCAGAGAAAATCAGTAATATCACTGTTTTTTTTAAGTTACTTAATATATAGGTACAAATGCAAAACCATCAAGCAAATTATACTATACTTAGTGAGTTATATATATCGAATGATATCTATTATATAGAATTTCCAACTATACGTAAAATGTTTTACGAAACGATATTCAATATATTGAAAAACACCTATTCAGTAAACTTTCTATATAAGTCTAGACTAGAACCTACACAATGGAATATATTTTATTTCGAAAATACATTTTATAAGATGAACATCTTGAATTGTGTATAATGGGCATTATAACACACTAATAATCCGCTTATAATGGAGTCTGAAATATTTAAATATTTTTTTTTAATTTTTATAACGCTAAAGGACTCACGAAGCGAATTTCTTACCCGCCCACCGCGTTTGCGGGTCCACAGCCTTTGTAGAACACAAATATGTATGTAAAAAATAAAGAACGACGCGTTTTACACCCGCGGCGTGATTGTTTGCGGCTCCCGCTTTCCCGCGCGCTCTGCGATCGGTTGGCGAGTCGCAATGGGAGGACCGGTCTGGTACTCAACTGATTGTCTAACCGTTTTGCTATAATCAACCGCCAAGTTTGCGGGTGAAAATGGGCGGCTGCGGGACCGCAACAAACTGCGGTCTCGTGTAGTTTCGAAAATAAATCGTGGGTGAAAACCGCGTCGTGAGTTCGTACCGATATACGTATAGTTTAATATTAGTAAATGGATATGTACCTATAATGTTCAATTGTGAGTTGAATATTGTATGTATAGGATACGTTGCGGGTATTTCTTTTTAAGATTTTAATTTAGTTTTATGATTTGTTTACTAGTTTTACTAATAAATCTTATTAGTGGTTTTTAATTGTTATATTGTTACTGAGACTTTACTGGAAAGTCTATTGTACTATTTGTTATATTTCTATAAACTAGGTAATAAATATTTATATATTTTGTAAAACTGATGGCTACACACATCGGGGCATTTGTCACAAAAGAGACATTTTAATATGACCTAAGTCACTAGGTTAGGGACCTACATATATAGGTAGTTACCTAGTTACTTAGGTTCACAAAGAGCCATTCACAACCAGTGTATTATGGTCACGCTTTATATCATGTTTCTGTACAATTGGAGGTCAGTTTATACTGGTTGTTAGTTGTTAGCCGAAAGTACGTACGTTCTCTCTGGTACTTTTCTACCACATAAGTTTTGTTAGGTCTTTGTTTATTAAACATTTATTTATGGGCCAAAGAAGATTTTCCAGGCACAGGTATCCTATCGATGCAAATAATCCCTGTTAATATATTGCAATTTGTTCCTCTAACAGAGCCGTTTCGTACCTACAATTTTGGTCAAACCTGTTGTTTGTTTTGTGAAAGTCAATATTAATAACTCGTTCGAATGCGCTTTTGAACAAAGGGATTTCAGATTCTCTTTTTTCATAAAGTTTTTCAGTTCGCATGTAAATTGATATTGGCACAAACGAATGTCAACAAGTCAAACGAATTGACAACTGCTGCAGGGATTTTATGGTGAAATCAAAGGCTTTAATTGTTATCTATTTTGAAGACCTAAAGGGGTGATGCGGAAGCCATATTTGAAATAGATTAATTAAAGCTAAGGGAGAAACTTTTCGCAGTTTTATAAAATCTTTTTTTTTTATATGACCGTGCGCTGTCGTTCGTTTTTCAAATCCTATTTGAAATAAAAATGCAAGTCTGTCATTGGTTAAAAGCCACGCGTTAAGTACATCTAGATGGTTACGTTTTCTTTGTACTTTATAAGTAGGACCTATGGGTATTTCTGTAATTAAAATCTCAGTATAAAAATGTCACATTTTCATAACGGTCTATATTAATTTTGTGTTTCAATCCATCGTTTTCATATTTCTTTCATACCTTTAACATTTAAAATTATTTTTCTGTAGGTCTTGTGTCTTGCCTGAAGCGAAACCGCCATTATTTTTCGGATACAACGATTTTACAACGCCCCCAAGGAAGAAACCTGTCAGTTATGCTGACTTTTACTGTTATTCTTATGTCATTTTCGGTATCTATGGGTCACTATTTATTCTTCAATTTGAAAAATCATCTAGTAAATAGTAATTTAATATGGCATTTGTAACGATTTTACTTACAAACTTTTAGTCTTTATAAATGCTCCATAACATCACGCTTTTTATCCCCGAATGGGTTGGCAGAGGTGCACATTACGGCTCTTAATGCTACTGTACAGTGTAACACCCACTTTACACTATTTACGTTACGAGTCTTATGTGATAGGAGGTTCACAAATCCACACTCCGTGCTATTGGCCGAGTGGTCGCAAGTGCGACTGCCGGGCAAGGGGTCTCGCGCTCGATTCCCGAGTCGGGAAAAATATTACTGGGTTTATAAAAACCTCAGTAATAGCACGGAGTCTGGATACGTGCCTGGTATATGGCAATGGGCTCACCCCCTATTACATGGGACTCATAACAAAAATAGTGAAAAGTGGGTGTTACATTGTACAGTGGCATTAATTGCCCTAATGTGTACCTCTGCCTAATCCTTCGGGGATAAAAGGCGTGATGTTATGTTATGTCAATAGCAGATTACTGCGATTTTTTCTGTCATTAAAAATACGTTTAATAATCCAGTACTATTATGTGTATGATATTTTAGGATATTTAAGTTTACAAGAATAATATTGATAACTCAGTGTCGTAAGATATTAATTGAACCCTAGAAATTGTGTGAACTCATTTTTGATAATTTTTGGTGAATCTCATCATCATTCGTCATAATCGTCATCACAGTCATCTTTATACTCGACATACACTAAAATATACTAAATCATTTTTCCTGTAAAATTTGAACGTTACAATTAGGTTTCAGTTATTCCTCGAGGGCTTAGAACAAATACAACAGTGGTTTAGTAAAAAAGTAGGTCATTGAAAACTAACCCTTAATGAATGGGCATAGAACTTACCGGCAGATGTCTGTGTTGATGGCGAAAATGCTTTCTTCTCTATTGACGAAAGGCGGGTAAATTCCAGCATCAGTACCATTGATCTGGTTACAGGGAGTCACTCCACCTTCAGGGTTCTTAGCCCAGTGTCGGAATCGGTTGTAGCCACCATATTTCAGGATACGACCCAAATCTGCGGGGTCATTAAGACCCCTTAGCACTTCATATTCTTCGCTGGGCAGTTGTTCTTTCTGTAAAGATATAAAGTGATCAAGATATGACATTACTGTTTGTTACCAAATTATTCAAATATATTTCACAAGCCAAGCATATAGAAGCCTGCCTAGTATATCCTCTCGCGCGCCTCTCGTACACACGGGTAAATATTTTAATAGAAAAGCGAATTAATTATTCTGTTCAATCAAATAAGGAACGGGTTGCAAACTTAAAAATATACCTACGTCACAGATAAAATATCCAATCGGTGCGCGTTTCTCATACACCCGTGTGTACAATTGCGCGATGAGCACTCAACTCTCTCGTACACCCGTGTGTACGAGAAACACGCGAGAGGATACAGATTATGATAAAGTTAGTCTCTTATGTAGACGAGGCCTGTAGTCCAGGTGTATACTGATGGTTTATTTAAGCCTTTAACTGCCGACAAAAACTGTTAAAGGCTAATCCTCCGCTAGCGTCGGACAACATTGTCCGACACGGCAGCCAATGCGTTAAAGACGATTATAAAATCATCCGTTTTGCAAATAAAGTAAACATAGAATTGTATTTCAGAGATGTGTTATTGTTAATTATAAAAGTTTAGTCAATAAAAACTCTAATATAATTTTAGTGAACAACAAAAACTGGTTAAATTTAATAATACTACAAAATATGTGAGAAAAGGAACATCACCTTAGGCGCCGTTACAGTAAGTAATTAGGCCACGTACTAAATACAAGATTCTTAGCTGCTTGCATCGTCGTAGCTTCCTACTAAGTACGAGTAATTGCCCTCAACAAGTTTGTTAAGGCGACGAGAACATTGGAACTTCAGAAAACTTAAAGAGGTTTCTCGAAGATGTCACGAACTCACTTCGTGTACTACAAAAACCAGAGCCGTTATATCACTAAGGCAGACTATACAAGTGTACCCATGTGGTACCAAAAAAGTTAGAGGCGCCTATGAGGTACTTGCTAATGACGCTGTCTAGGTATAATACGCATGTGAAAAATACTAAGTAAATGCAATGCTGATTTTGCTACCGGGAATTTCGACTCATTAGTATCCGAGATTATCATCAAACTAATGAGGAAAACGGAACAGCCTTCGTACAAAAAACTAACGAATGGTTCAACAAAAAAGAATACTCGAATGTATAAAAAAGTCCACTTCTTTTCATTGAAAAAAGTATCCAAATAAACGGAAGAGTCCTGGCTCCGTCGCCGAAACCTGAATACATTTCAAGTGCACTGATTCGTATTTCTATACAAGCTACAAGCACTTACGTACGATTTCGTACGTCGGAATTGAATTGAAAATCATCCAATCGAACCACGCAGCACTGAAGTACCTTGTTACCAACCTCTACGGTTACTGATTGCTTTCAATCTGAGTTTTTATTGTTACCAACAAGCCATACAATATATCAAATAAAACCTTTAATTTTATTATTTTCTGAACAAAATTCCATTCCATAATAGAGAAAATGATCGTCTTTTGAAAAGAGCTAAGAAAATGATATCCCTGTTGAGACACTCCCCATGGAGTTCCATTCATCTTGCCTCGATAGTCTAGATTCATAATCAGCCGCAGTCACCTATCTATTTTGAGCGGGATCTGGCTGGGCGTGGCCTGTACAGGGAGAGAGGGAGGCAGCGCTCGACCGCTTCCAGGAATTAAGATCAATACACGTCGTTTGTCACACAAACTGGACGAAGTACTAATAATGTCAGATTACAGAACATAGATTTGCTTCGCGTTTGTGCAACAAGTGCTGACGTCATCGTGACCCGACCAGCGACCTCGTTTGATGCTGGAAAAAGGTCACAAGTCACAAGCCGAATTTTAAGGAAATAAAGTCAGAAAGGAATGAGATTTTATTTGTAGTAAGACCGACAATCTAAGAAATACGAGAAACAGAACGAAGACGTAGCGGTGGGAAACCTGTAGCTGCATCTGTTTTCCTTGTGACTAAATAATTTTTGTTGTTCGAATTCGTAACTGCATTGAGACAGGTTTACTACGAGACTATACTACGTATGATACCAAATATACACATCAATAGTAAATTTACTTATTCGATTTGATTAAAATACTTACATAATTTAAGATTGAGAACACGAGAGAATCATCTTCCAACTGTTCAATATTCCGGGCCCCTTGAGCGATGTTCCTGATGATGTTGCACACGATGGTTGCTATCATACCAGTGTCCTTGCACAGCGTGATACCATCGAATAGTAACTCACGAGCCGTGATATTGACGAACGGCTGATTGTTTTTTCCAAAAACACCATTAATTGCGAGGTTTACTAATGGCATCAAATTCGGGTACAACGTTTCCGCAACTTGGATGATGGCCTGGAAAACAAATAAACGGTACGAATTAACGCTGGGCTCAATTAGGATAGGTCAGTGATTGGCAAAGCACGGCCCGCAGGCACCCTGTGGCCCATAAATAGCAATGATCGCTTGGCAACATCCGTAATTGTACGTACACCCACATTTCATTGCTGAGCGAAAATCGCCCTTATGTAGACAGTGAAAAGCCTAGTGTTTGTAGTGTTTTTGTAAAAACATACATTCAATTTACAGAGTAAACAGCAATTACATTTGTGAAACACGAATAGGTACATTTATTTGTTTCGTTCCAAGGCTCGTTTCCAAAATAACATTTAATATAGTTTCGGTATTGACATTAAATGAAATCAAATAAACACAGTGCAAAAATTATATTCCTCGTATAATAATTTAAATGTAGGCGCATATTCGTTGAAATATATCTACGTACATATTCAGGTTATACTGTAAAATGATTGAATAAACTACTCTCTGAAATACGGCCGTGTTCTAGTGTGGGTAAGGGTTGTGCATGAACGTATGTGTGTCGGGGTGGCAAACGGGGAGAAGGGGGGTGCGTGCACTTCGTTGGTGTGAGGCGAAGGGGGGATTGCGTTTAATTCCTGTTATAGCATTTATCTTCATTAATTTTTTTCTTTGGTATCCGGTGTTTGTTTCTAGACGTGTGTTCGAGTGATAAGTTCAATTAGAGGGGGTTGAGTTTTAGATCTTGATAATTGACAGCATTGAATGATGTACGTTAAAAGTCATCGTACACCTTACAAGCACGACTGCGGTACAGCTCCAACCCAGCAATTATTTTGTTATTAAAATATAAACTTTAAATCGCAAGTCATATGAAATATTTCTTATCGTCAATATAAAAGCTGACGGGGACGAGTTTGAGCGTGCGGCCGAGTGCTTACAGCTTCAGCGAGCCGACATCGACAGCGAGCTGACAGCGCACCGACAGCGCACCGATGGCGAGCCGACAACGAGGTGACATTGCGCCACCGGCGGGTCGACGGTGAGCTGCCCGCCAGATGCCATCGAGTGAAACACCGTCGCATCAAATATTATTGTTGATTAATCTCGCGGTGACCGGGCAACGCGCCATAAGGCTAAGGACTCGGCGTGATTTTCTCCCGCGCCCGCCACGGTCGCGCGCCCGCAATTTTTGTAGAATACAGAAATGTATTTAAAAAATTAAAGCATATTTCACGGCGCGAATTACGGCCGCGTCGCCCAGCCGCGGCGGTCTGTACACGCACGCTCTGCGATCGGTTGAGCGGAGCGGAGGGCTGCTCTAGAACTGAACTGATTTTTAAACCGCCCGTCTTGCGATAATCAACCGCCTTTGCGAGCGGTAATCGCAACTGCGATGGGCGCAGGTGAAAATCGCGTCGCGACCGCGCTGGTGGCTAGCGGTAAGAATATTCGAAACAACGCCGTCCCGGAGCCGAGTTGGAACCGCCTTAGTTAAATATCATATTGCACTTAACAGGCACCGCTCTAACCAGACTACAACCCAGCAATGGGGATGATGACAGGGTATGAAAATTAAAAATATAATTAGTCCGTAACTTAGGTAATAAAAAAATATTAGACACGTATTTTTTTATTTTGTTGTATAATAAAACAATACTTAGATAAAACGAATCAAAGTTTTGGAGTGGGGGCTAAAACGTCATTTCTTAGTATAAAATGTACTGAGAAGTGACGTCACGCGACATTACAAATTAATATATCTTTGAAACTATTCGTTTCCGTAAGAAAATAAAAAATACGTGTGTAATGTTTTTAAATAATCTACCAGACGGACATTAAAATTAAAATTAGTCGTCTACCCTATTAACGTGCCATTTAGAACATTAAACCTTATGTCATATAACATATTTCATAACGTCAATATAAAAATGCTGTAAGCGTGCCGCCCGCGCGCCGACAGCGCTTACAACCTTCTTGTATTCTTTCCAAAGAAAGAAACGCCGTGCCGGGACCGAGTTTGTTGAGTGTCTATATGTCCAACTATCCAAGTATCCATATAGTTATATGACAAGTTTAGTCGGGTAATTGGTAACGTACTGAGATTGTTAAGTAGATTAATTTTATGATAATAATATCAGGTAGATACGTAATTGTGTTATTTATGAACAAACATATCATTCATTCATCAACAGCCTATAAATGCCCACTGCTGAGCAAAGCCTCTTCTCACACGGAGAAGGTTAGAGCGTTAATCACCACGCTTGCTCAATGCGTTGGTGATTTCAAACTTATAATTAGAAATTATAAGTCCAGGTTTCCTCACGATGTTTTTCCTTCACCGTTTGTCAGTGGTGTCTAAATAATCTTAGAAAGTACATATAACTCGGAAAAAGTCACATTGGTACTTGCCGTTGGTAGGTACAAACATATATAAAAGTTTAATAAAAGTATAACTATTGACCAAAGGAAACAAAGATCAGTTCCATGTGCCAAGAAAAAGAAACATCAGATTGTCTATACACACTAATTATTTGGTTATTCTGCTTAAAACATCCTCTTGCATATAGAACATAATAAGAGTGACATTAACGTAGTACTCGGTGCTTTTATTTGACTTTAAAACAGACAACTTAGGGATATTTAAAATTTAAGCGATTTTTTATATGAACGCAGCTTTGTAATTACCGTTCCTGTATAATGTATTTAAACTGAGGTAACTCACGTAAAGAGATTATTTGTGAGATAGAAGACAATGAGCAGATAGATAATCTGATGTTTAGAAACTATCGCCTATAGACATCTATAATAGAGGAGACGTTAAAAAATGCCTTGCCGACCTTTTGGGGAAGAAGGTTTGTGTCAAGACTTAGTTCACAAACGACGGCACTGCGTATCTGATGACACCTTTGTTCCACAGTGTGCGTGACAACATGAATGTATAAATTATGTAAAGTTGTGTGGGTGTACCCAGTTCGCTGTCAATAACGATAACACGGGAACAACATTGCACACTAATCAATGTGACTGGACTGAAAATTAAGTGACAGAAGTTGTCTATTAATAGGTAGAAGACACTGTTCTGTGTTTATACACATATTATGGTATTTATTCATCAATGTGGTTAAGGTTCTGTGCAAACTGTTTTTATATTTCAGTCCGTAGAACACCCATCTAGGAGATTATAATTGCGCCATAAAAAGTTTTCGTGGATCATCTTTTTAAATCACATTTTTGGTCTTATTTTTAAATTCTGGAGAAGGACGATAAAACGAAGGGCGGTAAAGACTATGCATTTACGGCCATTTTCTATAACCTACCTATCAGTAGATTTACTTACTGCGATAGTATTTTGACACATTTTGTATAGAGCCTATGTCAAAATTCTATCTATATATAAAATTATATTAGTTATATAATATGGCCGTTAGCCGCTAACATTCAAGACAAAGCGGTTGACATGGACGTAGGGTACTGACAAAAATATAAATTGACAGACATAAAACAAAAGAATAAAGATGCGAGTCGCGACAACCCACGCAGATCAAACCTAGATAAAACGTAGACAGGCCAGATCAAAGGGTTAACTACAGATTAAAAAACAATATTAAGAAAACGAGTTACCAGTTCAACTGAACATTGTCTGACGACTGAAGACTGTTAACATTACATTGACAATACTTTCAAGATCTTTTTTGGAAGACAAGTCTTTGAAAATCGAATGAGCAAAAGATGTCTTTAAGTCGAACATTATAGACAGTAATAGACAGGACAGGATTCTTTCTATGTCCATTTTTTGTTAGTTTCTTTATATCATTGCAAAATCAACGACCTGTATTAATCCTCTTCTGGACTATTTTTTTATATATACTACGTTATATATATTACGTAGTATCTACTGGTGTTAAGAAAAGCAAAAACTACAACAGTAGCTAACTAAACAGGTTTGACAAACAGATCTTAAGACTCAGTGGTGCAGAATTTAAGACCAGGATAGCAAAAATAAAAATAATATATTAAGCTTATTCCTATATCGAATGAGCCTAATGTTTTTAGGTCAAGTGGAGTCTAGTCTATTAAGGCTACGCAGGCGAATTTGAAGCACGAAAGCATGCTTCAATTGAGGACTTGTCACTTAGTAAGCATTGGAATGTCAATCAAAAGTAGGATGCACATTTCAGGCATATTTGCCAATAGACATTTTTGAGCATGTTCAATAGAACGCCTTTTAGCATGTTATATAGTCTATTAAAATACAGAGCACTTTGATAGGTTTTACTTAATATTGTGCCAAAACAACAACGTCTTATATAAATAAAATACTAAATGAAGGTCTTTCGTCGAAAGCACTTAAACAACACCGTAGTGTCTATCAGAAAACATTAAAAGCACTTTATTTTATTTCAAATAGTAGTTAGTACTGTCCTCTACAAAGGTTTACACAGTAACCACAAACTAAACAATTTAATTTTCTTTTTGTTTTTTTTTTTTGTAGATTGATAGTAAACATTTCGACCATTGTTTTATTTTTAAACTGTGTTCTATTGTTTACTGGCTGAAAATTCTTGTTTGTTCAATTTAACGTAAAAAGCGTTTTATTTAAATAAGTAAAAAGTGGTGCCCCTTTTATTCGAGTTATACATTTTATTTATTTGTGTTTGGAAAAAATATAGGTTGCCATGGTATAGGAGGTCACCTAGAAACGTATAAAAACTTATTCATTTCTCGGAGAGAGGAGAGATAGAAAACAATTCTAAGAAAAGCCTCTTAAGAGCTGTTTTCTTTTGCGCTCTTCTTATTTAGTTACTAAGCCTGCTAAATAATACAATACCTACCTAACCTAGATTTGTGATAAGTACTGGAAACAAGATAACCAGTTCGTTATTCTCTACCTATAGGAATCGATAATTTGGAACAAAAATCTACCTACTAAACTCGTCGAGTACCGTCATTATAGACACAATTATAGAACAATAGGTTGCGGTCACCGGTGACCGCTTGGTGTTTGACAGTTTAAATTGTATAATCGCTTTTGA